AAATCGTCTGCTGTTAGTCCCATAAAGAGTTTGGTAGTTATTCTGATGCTTAGATGACCAGTTCAAACCAGTTGTAAGTCTCCCTGATCATATATTCAACATTGCTAAGGAGCTGCTGCGTTGTCTTTTGAGCTACAATGTCCAAAGAATGGCATACACATCAAATTAACTGTAAATTAGGCTGTTTCTGTTTGAGCAACTTATACACACACTCAAAAAAATGATATGTTGGCTTTACTTAACTTTTTTATGTAAACAGGTTTCACCGGTTCCACATAACTATGTTTCGTTAAACAAACATAATATGTTCATGTAACTTCAACATCATGGAATTTGGTCATTTTAAGCGACCCAATTAAACTCTGAGCTAATGAGTTAATTAAGTGAATAATTGAGTGATGATTGAGCATTATTGAAGACACCTGATGTTAACAAGCAGAATCTCTGAAGGAGAAAACCGGAATGTTTAAGTCACCATTATGGAGATAAGTATTTGTTTTAGTTGGGCTCTTGACCATTAACTTATTAACTTTAGATTTTGTTTGGTTGCTGTACATGAGTTATAACAGCCAGATGAACAATGAAATCTGATGGTGTTGGTTGTGATTTAACATAATCATTTTTTCACAATCATTTGACCTCAATCACTGAACTTATATTGAACCCAATTTCTGAGTTAAGTTTACCTTACTGTCATTGTAGAGCATACTATTTTTAGCCTTTTCAATGAAATTCAAATGATCAATTCAAGAAATAAAAAATAAACTTCTTAAAAAATATCCTGAGTAGGCACACACAAACATCAAGAATCAGCATATGAATCTCAGCAATGGTGACAAACAGATCATAAGCTCATTATTTATTCATGCAGCAATGCATGATGGGAGCCATGAATGAGTTTTGATTGGTGGCACCCAGAATGCACTGCAACATGCTTTATAATTGTCACCATTGTTGAGATTCACAGGCTGATTCTTGATGTCTGTGTGTGCCTACTCAAAATATTTTTTAGGAAGTTTCTTTTTTATTTATTGATTTGATCATTTAAATTTCACTGAAAAGTCTAAAAATAGTATGCTCTACAATGACAGTGTTGCTATTATTCGTAAGGTAAGCTTAACTCAGAAAATCGGTTTAATATAAGTTCAGTGACTCAGGTCAAATGATTGTGAAATAATGATTATGTTAAAACACAAACAAACACCATCAAATGACCTTTGTTTATTGTTCATCCGGCTGTTATAACTCATGTACAGCAACCAAACAAAATCTAAAGTTAATAAGTTAATGGTCAAGAGCCCAACTAAAACACACACTTATCTCCATAATGGTGACTTAAACATTCCGGTTTTCTCCTTCAGAGATTCTGCTTGTTAACATCAGGTGTCTTCAATAATGCTCAATCATCACTCAGTTATTCACTTAATTAACTCATTAGCTCAGAGTTTAATTGGGTCGCTTAAAATGACCAAATTCCATGATGTTGAAGTTACATGAACATATTATGTTTGTTTAACGAAACAGTTATGTGGAACCGGTGGAACCTGTTTACATAAAAAAGTTAAGTAAAGCCAACATATCATTTTTTTGAGTGCAGAGTGATGTCTCCCCATCATGATGCTTGGTCTATCTGTTGCTATGCCAACCATATTTACTATATCCAGCGAATTAGCTTGCAGAAAGTCAGTGATGGCATCCACAATCCTGCATCAAAAAAGCTCAGCCAGCCCCAGGAAAGTGCTCACATGTAATGTTGGTTGTTTCATCCAAGTAAAAGGAGAAAGGTGAGTTTCTTATGTCCTGTTGAAGTTCTTCTTTAAAATGCAGTGCCAGAACTGACTTAATGACAGCCGTACATTTGGTTCTGTGCATCTAGAATGCTCCGTTCTCATCCTTCAGTATGTCCGGTATGTCAAGTCGTCCACAGCATTAACTGATCTCTGGCAAGCAACACATGTTGCTATACGGAGTTGACAGCACTGGTTGTCACAAATGCTTGGAATGGTTTTGTGGGAACAGAAATCGTTTTCTGTTCCCTCGTTTCTCATTGATTATTCTCACCTATGCCTCGTTACCCTCATCAATCCTTGTGTATATAAGCTCTAGTGTGTTTTTCCGTTTTTCCGTTTTTCATTTTGTTTTGGTCTTGTTATTGTTAAATAAACATTTACCTGCATTTGGACATGACTCGCCACTTCGGTTTGAGGCTGAATAAACATTATAAACTGTTACATTTGTCTTTTTTTAAATGGGTGCATGATGATGCTGTATGACCTGTTTATTTTTTTAAGGTCTAAATGCAGCAAATTGTGGCTACTGGTACATGCTCATACTGTCGGCGGCAGTGGCAGTGTGTTAAACAGACGTTTAGCAACTGTTACTGCTGTGTATCTACAGTTGGATCTTGATTCTAAAGCTTTTATTGTCTGTTTTTTTATTCCCTTTTATAATCTGTGGCATGAAAGCTATGGGTCTTTGCAGTTTATTTTATCACTCTAGCAGAGATTGCTTGTTTGGACATCATATTGTTCCATCACACACATGCTATTGTTTGCTATCACTTTGAACTGTGCTGTTGACTTGGGCTCCACTAATATGGTGAGTGTGTTGTATGTATATTGAATTTGTTGTTACAGTATATTGTTTTATTTGCTTGTTTATTGCTTTATTGATAAGCTTATGTTTTTAAAAGCACTATATTTTACACATTATTAATATTGTTACTACTACTTTTATTATTATTATTATCAGTAACTAAATAAATGACATGGCTAGTCATGTGACATCAATACGGCGACCAACTCCATGTAAAATTAAACTGCCTTTTTAAAAGACTGATATATCTGAAGTCTTGTCTTGGTCTCATGTGAGTGTACATCATTTTAATGATATTTCTAATTCTCATTTCTGAGTGCACCTAAAGTTTTATCCCATAATGAGCAGAACCAGACAACTTGCACCAATGCTAAATTGTTCTATATGTACTAATCATTTGTTAACATGTATTCTTTACTTCAATGAGCTTACTGTTTCCGCCTTACATTAATACATTGTTTAAATTAATACATTGTTAGCTGTATATGTGATTTGCGTGATTTGTATACATTTCTGAAATACATAACTTCGACGGTCACCTCACCTTCGATAACAGATCACTCTAAATTGAAATGTAGACATACATTTTCTGTAAAGCTGCTTTGAAACGATATGTTTTGTGAAAAGTGCTATACAAATTAATGTGCATTTAATTGAATTGAACGTGCATTCATTTCAGATATACATACAAATATTCCTCAGGGAAGGACTAGAACAATATTTTTGAACGTTGACCTAGACTGACCCTCAGAAACTTTATTAGGATTACGTACCTCATGCTTCCATACGTATGTCACAATTCATGATTTATCATGTATTAACTGTCTTATAAACCACCACTGAGCAAGCCAAAGAGCAACAGTGGCAAGGAACCAAAACTCCATCTGGTGATAGTAGTAGAGAACGAAACCTTGAGAAAAACCAGGCAAACAGCTGATTCACACATGCCCTGAGGACCCTGGGCCTTATTCCATCTGGCCATCTGTCCTCCTCACAGTGCCGCTTCTCAATGCTTTATCTCTCCCCATATATTCATTGCTGCTGGTCAACAAAGTTAGCCCAACACACTCTAAAAAGAAATTCAGGGGACCTATTACTTAAATAAATGCATGGTTGTACGTACAATTTTAAATTATTGAATTAAACCTAATAAGTGCAAACATTATTTTTAGTTCTGTTGACATAATAATGTTAATCATTATATCAACTTAAACTGAAATATCTGGGTTAATTAATGAAATTTTAGATAACAAATGAAATAGTTGATAACTTGAAAATTGAGCAGTGGATTTGTAGTTTTTAGAGAGTAGAATGGCACACAGAAATGTATTGCAACAAGCTTACATAAGTGTGTCTTAAAAATTTGTATTATAAATTCTATGTGACATTGGAGGCCCCAGTCATATATCAGCACTAGGATATCAAAGACATGTCTTGTTTCTTTACGTTATCTTTATATACAATATTCGGTGGATTTTTGTACATTTCTGTCTGCATCTATTTGTTTTGTGACACGTGGAGGCAAAATGAGTTGAAATGTCAAAAATGGAAAAAGAGTGGAAATTGTAATTTCTGTTAGGACCACTATCGTCAAATACGATTGGGAATTAGCATACAGTTTGGATTGGCGGCAGGAGAATCGGCGATCTCGACGACAGACGCTTCCCCTCAGCACAAGTTTGGTATTGTTTTAAAGTCCAGCATTCCAACTTTGTGAATAATCATAGCAAATTCTCAATGGCATGAGTCTGAACCAATGAAATGTGATTTTCAAACTGATGCTGATGTAAACAAAACGATCTTACTCGCGCTGATTGACAATACGAAGCATGTGCACAAAGACGCGATACCGATATACACATAGATACAGAATTACAGTATTTAAAAATATCTCTTTCTTGGTGAGTATTCTCGCACATCTGTTATTCTTAAGTGAACGGGTGGTGACCTGTTGGGGAAAAACATTTATACCTACTGTAAAACATTGGGGAAAAACATTTATACCTACATTAATAACTACTGTACCATTTTGGTGTGTGCCAAAATTGGTGTTTTTACCAGGGATTTTAAGGTATGTTTGCTAGGTGATTTTGTTTTGGAACCTTTAGAAAACTTTAACTTGATTTTTCTCAAAATTGACTTTGCGGACTCTATCGATTTGTTTTGTCTGATTCCAACAAATCATACATCATTTTGAAGGTTGTTTAATAGAGAATGTGAATTACAATAACTCATTTTTGAAAATTTGCCAGCACGGGTGACATATTGTATTTAAAATTTGTTTCTCAGACTTTCAAATCAAACTGTCCATCCATAGATTGACTAACCCTTTATTTATTTATCCATCCATCCATCCATCGATTAACTCCTACATCTTTCCATCCATACTTTTTTTCTCTCCTCAGAAGTGGAACGTGAGTCAAACCAAGATCCGTGTGATCTCTACTTTTCTTTTCATTCTCTTTGGTTGTCTCCTCTTCGTCACTCTGCCGGCCGTCATATTCAAACACATTGAGGGCTGGAGTGCGCTTGAGTCCATCTACTTTGTCGTCATTACTTTGACAACCATCGGCTTCGGAGATTTTGTTGCGGGCGAGGGTGAGCGACGCCTCCATGAAGAAAGCAGTGGTGAGCATAAACACAGGACACGCATGACTGCATGTTTGCAGCTGTTTGCAAAAAGGATTCTAGCATCGTGTCTCGTTTGTTCAGGTGGTTCTGATTTGGAGTACTTGGACTATTACAAGCCCCTGGTCTGGTTCTGGATCCTGATTGGTTTAGCATATTTCGCCGCTGTTCTCAGTATGATTGGAGACTGGTTTCGTGTCATATCCAAGAAAACAAAGGAGGAGGTGTGTTCTCATGTGATGCAGTAAATTATGCCACCTTCAAACAACATCTGCACCCACAAATCTATGCAATGCTTTAAACTCAGTTCAGTCAGGACCACTTGAGTCAAAAATACCAAAAACAATTATTTTCCAAAATATTTATTTGCATGATTGATAAAGTTACATTTGGCGGTATGGCTCTGTTCTGAATTACCCATCCTTTTCATGAGCTCCATGAAAGCTAGTCAGGTAATTGATTGAAAGAAACTAATTGAAGGCGTATTAATCGGATCAGCTGATAGACTGGGTATCAGCTGATAGCTGAGCTTGACTACGCGGCCTGCCTGAACTGACGCTGAACGCTATATTTCACTCAAAAATAACAATTCTTTCATCATTTACTTTCCCTCATGCTGTTCCAAACCCATAAGACTTTTAATTTTACAATACGTGCACTTACTGTTAAATCCAACATTTGTTCAGTACAGCAAAATCCCCAGTGTTAAATTAACACTGCTCAGTGTTTATATAATCCACACTCAAGAGTGTAATAAGTAACACTGAAGCAGTGTTAAAGTGATGATTGAGCATTATTAAAGACACCTTACACCACCTGATATTGATTCACTTCCGTTGCAAAGATCATTAGTTATTAACTTAGGGGCCGCTTACACGACACCGTTCTAACAGAAAACAACCTGAGCGCAAACCCTGAAATAGATTCCAAGGTGCAAGCCTTAAAAAATGTTGAAAAAAAAGGTTATCTCTGCGCAAACCTCAAAAAATGCAAACCCGCGAAAACGCAGACGGCGTGCACATGCGCATCACGTGTTTAGTCTATAGGTATGCTCATTTGAATATATATGTGCGCAGGCATGTAAAGAATTAAATGGTAAATGGATGGACTGCATTTATATAGCGCTTTCACAGACCCAATGGCCACCAAAGCGCTTTGCAATTTGCCTCACATTCACCCATTCACTCACTCATTCATACACCGACGGGCGACGGCAGCCATGCAAGGCGCCATCCAGCTCGTCGGGAGCAGCTGGGGTTAGGTGTCTTGCTCATGGACACCTCGACACTTGGTCAGAATTATTTATCGCTTCAGTGTAGCCACGTGGACCGGAATTATACCGACAACGTTTTATCTGTACAGAGGTAAAGCGAGGGAGGCCTTCACAGGGAAGAGACTAGTTGACACTTCAGGACTACGTTGTCATCGTGTCCAGGCGCAGGTCCTTCATCAGATCTGGATACGGCCTGGATCTGGCGGACTGCGGTAAACCTCAGGATAAACAGAGAGACTAATATTTGCGTAGACGCCATCCTTCTTATGATGTAACGAGTACATCAGGATTTATGGGAAGTGTTCCCGGTTCCGGCTAACCTAATCTATGCAGCCTAACATTGAATTATAGAAGTCTATAGTGTGTTATGTGTATGCTAGGTCAAAGAGATGTGTTTTTAGTCTAGATTTGAACTGACAGAGTGTGTCTGCTTCCCGGACAATGTTCTACTAAGCATTTAATACGTTTTTAAGGTTATTCTGCATGATAAATTGTGTTCCTGTAGCTCAACTGGTAGAGCAGAGCACTAGCAATGCCAAGGGAACAGAATGTATGCGACATAAGTTTGCATACCTTGAATTAGGGATCGACCGATATGGATTTTTTAGTGCCGATACCGATACCGATTTTTTTCCCATCAGCCTTAGCCGATGACCGATACGGGCTGCCGATTTTCTTGAGCCGATATTTGGAGCCGATACATTTTGCTCCCTCAATTTACATCATAAAAATGACATGATGTTAACAAATGTTACAGGTCTCAATTTAATAAAAGTAACATTTATTTAACGTAAAAAAATCAATATTTAACAAATAGTAAAAACATGTGAGGTAGAACAAGAACAAGTAGATAAACAATATTTAACAAATATTAAAAACATGAGGTAGAACAAAAAAAAGTTCACTGCTGAAAATAAATATTTAAGCATAAATAAAATAATTGCACTATTGCACACAGTAGCAACCAGCATAATAAAGTGCACAGTGCACACTGTACTTCATTTTAAAAGTAACGAACTATTTACTGCCACAGTTTAAATTTTTCTACATAAAATAAAATGAGCATGTCTAGTCCCTAATATCACTGCGATGGCGAGGGAGACACACACCACACGCGTCCAAACCTCAGCCAGGTGGTCGCAAAAAGCACGGAACAACGTTGGTAGTACTTAATCCTATGACCAGTGTTCGTAACAGCTACCGTACGCATACTAGGGCTGTCAAAATTGCTCAAATGGCGTTTGTATATTCCCTCTAAAAAAACATATTTGAACATATCGTCGTGCATTTGGTCAATGACGCGCATTACGTCAATAACAGGACAAATTAATACAAAGAGACATAACTACTAGTATTAAGTAGCTTATTTGAGTTTAAACATATTTGACAACGTATTACTACAAAAAAAACGAGTAAATCAACTAATGGCCAAGACCGCAGAGCTCACTCTGGCTCGCCCGGACTCGCAGGCGCACTCTCTCTCTCTCTCTCTCTCTCTCGCACTCACCCTCACGCTCTCCGCGCATACCGGTTTAAATGAACAACAACAAACAAATGTTGAGTGCTGATCAAGAGTTTTGTGCAAGCAATTTAAGGTATATAGCAGGCTTCATTCAGTGATTGAAACAAATACATTAATTGAAGTTTCACAGTACATAGAACCGACACTGAGCGCTCCGAGCGAGCTGTGCTGTGGTAACGTTTGTCTGCTACCGCGGGCGTGTTTTTCCACATTCGAATATTAATTTTCACCTTCAAAATTCAGTTTTTTTTAAACTATTCGAATATATATTCGTATTTAGAATATTCATTGACAGCCCTAATGCATACTGAACGGATAGCCTACAGCTATTTGCAGCTCCCTAAATACAATGGCAAGCAAGCAGTTTTATAGACGAGTCATTCGCGTTTTCCATTTGGACCCACAAACTTGCTTAGCTATATAGTTGCAACCACATAACAGTTATAGAGCAACGTGTTTCCATTTTCAAAGTGTTTGACAATATTTCAGCAGTCAAACAGTTAAAAGATGCTTTGAAAGTTTAAAAGTTACCGTTATCTTGAAGCGCAGGTTGCACTCTGCTAGTGGGGGAGGGAAAGTGCAGGGTCTGCACGTGAACTGCAGCGTCTCCAGCAGCACAGAGCTGCCTGTGGACGCCTGTCTATAAATAATGCCGGGAAAAAACTATCGGCGAACGCAGCAGCCGCGTATCGGCCGATTCCGTACACGTAAAAACCGCAAATATCGGCCCGATATATCGGCCGGCCGATATATCGGTCGATCACTACCTTGAATGCACTGTAAAGGTCCTTGCACACTGAGGGCCAGATGTACGAACATTTGCGAACGCAGCGTTAATAGCGCCATGGCCAAGACGCAGAAAACGCTTGATGTGTAACCGCAGTGTCCGTGTTATGTACACAGCAAAATCCTCAGTGTTAAATTAACACTGAGAGTGTGAATTATATAAACTCAGAGCAGAGTGTTAAATGAACACTGAAGCAGTGTTAAAGTAAATGAGACAATAATGTGAATAATTGAGTGATAATTGGACATTATTGAAGTCACCTGATGTTAACAAGCAGATTCACTGAAAGCGAAAACCGGATTTATTTAAGTCACCAATATGGTGATCAGTATTTATTTTAGTTGGGCTCTTGACCCTTAAATCATTAACTTTAAATTTTATTTGGTTGCTGTACCTGAGTTATAACAGCCAGATGAACAATTAGAAAATGTGATCTGATGGTGTTGGTTGTGTTTTAACCCTCTGGGGTCTGAGGTGTTTTCGGGGTCCTTGAGATGTTTTGGCATGCTCTGACATTTGTGCATTTTTCAGTTGCTTATAAACATATTAATGGCACAGGTGAAATTACACTCTATATAGCACACACAGGGCTACCATTATATGTGAGCAACATGTATGTACATGTTTGTATTTTTGAGAGAATATTGTTTATGCGTGGTTATTGAAAAAACTAAAAAATAAATTTTCTAATATATGGCCACAAATAACATACTAAATATCTGTCCACAAGACTTTTGACTAGTGGATGTTGTCGCCTAGAGTATTTGCTTCAAATTGATCTGAAAATCATTCTGGCTAATCATTCACATAAAACAATAGATTGTTTTAAATTGTGAAAAACATTTTTTTGTTTGCAAAGGCAATATGCGGATGGGCGGATCGGCCCAACCCCCTCATGAATAATTAGGCAGTTCTCACCTGAGCAGACTGCATACTAATGAGCCTTTCATTCAGGGGTGTCACACAAGAAAGAATGCAAGGACAATATATATATATAAATAAATAAATATTTATATACACACACACACACACACACACACACACACACATATATATATATATATATATATATGTGTGTGTGTGTGTGTGTGTGTGTGTGTATATAAATATTTATTTATTTATATATATATATATATTGTCCTTGCATTCTTTCTTGTGTGACACCCCTGAATGAAAGGCTCATTATATATATATATATATATATATATATATATATATATATATATATATATATATATATATATATATATATATATATATATATATATATATATATATATATACATATATATATATATATATATATATATACAAACAATCAAAATATAAATGAAAGCCAAAAGCACATTTTTAGTCACACATTTTAGCCATCCACATACCATTTTTAGCCATCCACCGCGGTAAAAATAAACCAGTCGCATTTCAAAGTCGTACGCGAAATGACCGCCAGGTGGCGCAAAGGGACATTTAGCAAAACGTAAGTGGGGCTAATGTCTATTAACAGTAGCCTAAGGATGAAATACTACAAGTTATGGTAATTTCCAAATAAGCCTACAACAAATTGTTGGTCATACAGATAAGATATAATCTTTTAAAACTGTAAAAGGTTAAAGTAGGCCTACACTCACAGGCTAAAGACAAA